TCTCATACCAGTCTTTATCCAGTAAGATCTATCAACAAGACCTCCATCAGGTGCCCTGGGTTAGTGGTGACTGTACCTGCTCCAGAGCTATTCATTGTTCCTCCGTACAGTTCTAGAGGGCATTCTATAAGTCTCTACAGCAGGAGGTAGAAGTCTTTCCAGAAGCAGTGTGCCAGATGGTACCTTTCTCTCTCAAGTTAGAGGCTAAAGACACTAATAGGAACTCAACTGGCTGCTTCTCAAAGATTTGTGTGACCAATCATCAGAACATCATTTGAGGCATCCCTTCCTCTTTTGTCCAGCGTTCAGTGGGATCCCAAGAGTAGGAGCTCATTCCCTCTCAGAGTTGTCTTCTCTGAAGATACTACAGCTGCCATTGCCCGTACTTGCTGCATGACTCAAGCATGTCCTTAGTTCAGGGTCAATTTTATGCACTACTGCCTACTCTTCTTGAGTATCTAATGCTGTATTTTTCCATTGGCACTGTGGTCTTTGAAGGACTTTGCCCCTGAGACAGTCACAGTTTAGAAGCAGGTGTCCCAGGTGAAAATGTGTTGAGATAATTTCCCTGCTCTGTGGTTCAAAGTCCGCCTCTTCACTTTGCCAGTACCTTCAGCTGCAAGCAGGATGACCTGCAAATCACAGGCTTTGTAAGGAGACTCAATTCTGGGAATGCTATAATTTTCCCAGTGATCAAGACTCAGATTTTCAATCTACAAGTCCTTTTTCTACATCTGGGCTATAGACCACAATAGTGGTCTAGGAAGGATAGGATTACTTCAGTAATTCACCTGTTGAAGGATTAGAATCCTCTTGATAAAAAAAAAAAAAAAAAAAGAAGTGTTTCACAAAGAAATTTAGAGAGCAAAAAGATCTGGTCTAAGGCAGTGCACATAAATCCATATTTGATACTCCAGAAATCAGCATGGTTTCTCCTGTGAGTAAAGAATTGGAATGTTCCATATTTGAGAAGTGGGAAGGAAGGACAACAGTCTGTTTTATGTAGATTGAAAAAGGCACATCCTGTGGAGTTTGGTCATGCAGATGTACATCAGTGAGAATTTTATCTCCATAAGGTGCAAATTTTACTCCTAAAAGTACTACTTTCTAATAAAATCACTGGTAATTAAATTTCCTCTCTACATTCCATTCAGTTATCACTAGACAAAATCACTAGACAAGATTGCTTTTATTAGTTATTTCAAAGAAATCAATTAAAGAGTTCTAATTACCATTTTAAATCACAAGCATTTGATAATGAAATTGTTATTTTTATTAACGTTATGTGTCTAGCTTTTGCTGGCTTTAATTTTTATTGTCAAATTGAAAAATGAGGGTTTGGTACAGAGGGAAATTTATTAATTCCTACCAATAATAGACTGGAAATAAACATTTCTAAGGCTTCCTATCACTTTGTTAGCACTTTTCTAAATGCAAAGAAATTAAACAATGAAGATGATGGAAAGGAGAATTAAACTTATTCAAATATGCAACCTTGTGACTTCCTCTCTACTTTAGATTTTTCACCAAAGGAAGGCATCCAGCAGCCCCAGGAGAGTCCCTGTCCCTTGGCCTGGGGACATGGACTGAATGCGTTCTGGCTCTTTCAGCCTTGCATATCTGGATTTCCTTTTCTTGTCAATCAGGTGCTAGGTGGGAGACACAGAGAGTAACTAGGTCTTGGGTGGGCATGCCACAAGAAACCAATTGCACACAGTTCCTGGCACTCCCAGATGAAATGTGGCTTGTGTTGCTTCTTCAATGTCACCTTCTTTGTATCATTACCCTCAGCCAGTTGCACTGCTGTTCACTTCCAGTCCCAAGTATTGCTGAGTGTCATTAAACAGGTACAAAGGTTCATGGCAGAGTTTCAGGTTTTTTTGTGGTGAATATCTATAAAAATAGCATCTGCTTTATCTGAATTGACTGGAGATTGTAGAACATATGATAAGGACTTCACTGTAGTGCAGATTGTAAAAGATAATCAAACCTTGGCTCAGAGAAAATTGCAAAGAAGTCAGGGCTTCTTGTCTATGACTCAGTAAGTAAGCTGGCAGAGCCCTTGCACAATCTAGAGTGCAATTCTCAAGCACTCTGCTCCAATGCTGTCACATTCTGTCCTTTTGCATGTCCCTGTGCACACAGGAATACTACTTACATTGTTCCTTTTGCTGGATTCTCGTCAGCTCAGTTGCCTGTGGCCCTGATATGGCAGGAACAGCTTGAGCAAGATAGAATAAGAACAAGGTGTTACTCTGCCTCCACAGAAACATGCTTAGCTTTTGTGTATAGCTAATGTAGGGCTAGTTCCCTCAAGCACACAGTTAGTTACACCTCTATTGCATACAGGCATGCAGGCCTCAGCTTGTTTTTATAGAATGTTACCAGGTTACTGCAGGAATTTGGAAATTAACTGTATTGAGAAAGTGTCTTCAAAACTTGGGAGAAGGAGAGTGAGACATTACTTCTTTTTTTTTCCCCTCTCTTGGGGAATTTTATAAAAATGATGTAGACTTTTAGGATATCTTGTTTTATTCACATTGTAAAGACTTGTGTAAGCAGTTAATATTCACCTATTCAATGCAGTCATTTAAGGACTGGCTGTTTAAAACTTTTGGTCAGCCAGAGTTCAATTAAATGCAGTTGAAGGGTTGGAAGTGACTGAAATTTGCAAGCTGGGTTCTTGTCTGTTCCCTTGTAACCAGCTGTACCATGGACCAGTTCTCCAGTATACAGCAGAGTACTATAAATACTGATCTAAAGTATATGGTTTGCCAGCAGCTGTGAGAGTCCATCCTCACAGCCTGGAGCTCTCTCTCATCTCTGAGACCATACTGGATGTCTGACTTGGATGAGGTGGCACAGGACATGTGGGGTAGTGCTCACAGGCAATGGGGTAGCTGTACTGCAGCTGAAAACCATGAGGTGATACGTGCACCAAGGTTGAACACTGTCTTCTGACAATGCTGTAAACAGATGTAACCAAGTCTCTCTAGAAGAAATCCCCAGGCTTCATTTCAGAAAATGGTGTTTGTGTCAAAGCAAGACTTGGCATTTCTGCTGCTGAAAGTTGGTCCTGCTAATAATGTTGGCCAAGTTAGGAATAAAATGCACAGCATTAGATGGCATGGCTCCCTTTTCAAATGCTGAGAAAATTTTGTTGGTAATGGGAAGGTAGCCAAATACCTAACAAACAGCAATTTGGTTTGGAAAAAGGAGGTTGTTTTTGTTCTTTTTGCTTTGTTGTAAAATTCCAGTATCAATAGGATAACGTTAGACTGAAAAAAAACCCTGTGATATCAACCAGAAAGTGATTTGGCTTGCAGCTATATAGTCTGAAAGAGCATTGTTTAGATGAGTAGCTAATTGGGGATTTTACTAAATACTTCCAATACGGTTTTATGGGTACAGTGATTTATTCTAGTTCTCATGAAGGAGACATGATTACCTAGCTCAGCTTTTATAGTAGCTGTGTCGGCTACTGAATTCAAAGATGTAATTCCAAATAACACTGATCTGATAAAAGATCTGAAGTTTCCTACAGAGTCTTTCCTGGCTGTGCTGTATGTGATCATTTTCTGTCTGTTGTTTAGGAGGAAATACGTCCACAGTTTGAAGCCAAATACTCCAAGAAAGAACGAATGAACCCCATATCTGGGAAGCCAGAGCCTTATCAAGCATTTGCAGATAAATGCAGCAGACTCATCGTTTCTGCATCTGGAATATTTTTTATGGTTTGAGAACTCTTATTTGTTTACCAGTTGAAAAAATAGCATTATCTCTGTTGAGTGTGTAAATATGGGATATGACTGCTTGAAAGTGAAATAAGCTCTAGCATGTTTATTGCTGGCTGAGAGTCTACATAGCAAATCACTCAGGTTTCTGTGAAGTCCTACACTAGTTCACCCTTCACTCAGTCTCACACATAGTTAAGTCCTTCCTTCGAGGCTATACCTGTAACACTATATGTAGTGACAAACATCCCAAAATAATAATGCTATCACATTTAGGCACCAACTATTACTGCCTGCATTAGCTCACTGGTTGCCTTTCCTGTGTAGACAGCACAGAGTGATGGGGCTAGGCACCAACTATTACTGCCTGAATTAGCTCACTGGTTGCCTTCCCTGTGTAGACAGCACAGAGTGATGGGGGAAGATGACATAGAAGAGGCAGCTGTTCTTTGTAAACTTCACGGAGAACCTAATTAGGATGCCTAGAGTGCTTAATGATGGTAATATGTCCTAGTTTTTCAGTGTATTGAGGAGATAAGGAAAGAGGGTTCATATTCCTAGTGCAATTGAAATGGGAAAACCAGTGTTCCTTTACTAAAATGAGGCATTTCTACACTTTACAAAGTGCAAAATTAAATGCAACAGCAAAATCCCTCCTAACAGAGAGCTGCATGCATTTCTGCTGAAATGTCCCATTCTGTAACTTCACTTGAAGCCATTATGGTCTGTTATTCACATGACAATGACTGTGGTAGTATTAGTCTTGAAAATACACCTGATATCAACTCAGACCATGATGGAATTTATTAGGGCTTTGCCAGGAGGCTAGAAAGTGTCAAATATGTACAACCTCAGGAGAAGTGGAGAGCCAGGTAAGTGAACTAGCCCAACAACTTTGTGTCTGAATGAGATGGGAGGGAATAGGACAGAGCACTTGTAACAAACTGATGGCTTCAAAATTGTCCAAAGCAATCTTGGACAAAAAAGGCAAGTTTTTAGCAGAGGAGATATACACTTACCAAAACTTCAAGTCAGAGCAGTTCTCAAAATTTTACAGCATCAACTCTCACAGTGCAGTTACTAACACAGCTTGAACCAGGTTAGTGGCTCCCTGGTAAGGAAAAGGAAAGTGTCTTCTTCCCCTCAACACTCTGCAGGGAATCCAGAGACAATCTTTCACATTCACACACATTGTTCTTTTTCTTCTGCATTGGGATTATGTCAAGCAATTTTGTAATGAATATGAAATTATTAAAACGGCTTGATTAGCATTCAGTGTTTTCAAAGTAATTTTGCCCATTCAATTAGCTTAGATATACTTCAGTTTTGATTAGTGTAAGTCATCTGTGCACAACCTTGGAATACACCTATCTTCAGCAAATAATTGTATGTCTTCTACCAAAGAAACTCTCTCTCCTTGTCCCTTAAGGGGCTAATAGTTTCTGTCAAAGTGTCTATGAGAGGAGTCACCCATGCTAATTCACAACTGTTTGTCCTCTAGGTGACTTGCTAAACTGTGACATAAATTGGTCACTAGGGAAAACAGTGGTGCTCAACTGTTGCATAATGAACATCAAGTGATTTAGCAGCCTGGCTCAGCTGCGTGGCTTTCTCACTGTAACTGGTATATTTGCTGAAAGTCTCATCCAAGAAGAAATTACAAGGGCAGTTGAACTTGTTGTTTTCTCTAGATAGAAACTTTCCAGAACTGTAGGAAGAAACAGAGTTGCTTGGCAGGGTTGTTGGTATGGTAGTGCTTACAAATTAAGACATTTTTTCCTGTAAATGTGAAGTCCATCAAAGCACAAAATCCATCCCAAATATGACACCATTAAGCTGGGACATCAGCTTGAGACTTGCCTTTGCACATCACAAGACATGCACATAAGGAATATTTCTAATTCCCAGAGTTGGCAACACTGTTTCCCACACTAATACTGAGGAAGAGGAACCTTTTCAAGATAATGTTTAAAAATTATTTTAATATATTTCCAAAGATGTTTTTGATTATGAGTAATAGAAAGGATTTCATAGTAAGAATAATCAGGTTGAAACCTTTCTCTGAAGTCTAGAGGGATTCATGTTTCGAGTCTTTCACTTCATTATTTTAGTTTTCAGAGTTTCAGGGAGAAGCTAACTCCTGTTCTGCTGGAAGTTTTCAGGTTCTTCTCTCTGTTTTTTTTCTTCCTTTAGATCTGTGTGGTAATTGCTGCTGTTTTTGGCATTGTTATTTACCGTGTTGTGACTGTCAGCACTTTTGCTGCCTTTAAGTGGGCTTTAATCAGGAATAACTCTCAGGTTGCAACTACAGGGACTGCAGTGTGCATCAACTTTTGCATCATCATGCTACTGAATGTGGTGAGTAAATTAACATATAGTTTATACCTGAGCCATTAGAGCAGGAGATAGGTCAGTCTGCAGATCACTGAATACTTTCAATGCCTTTTTCACAAGGAACAGAGTGCCTTGCTAAGTCAGACATGAAATTACTGTTTATGGACATCGTTCACTATTTATGTAAAGTGCAATTCCAAACACAAAACATTATGTAAACTGTGTTTGAATGTTCTAGAAGTTTTTTTGGGATATGTGATCACACTCCTGGTTTATCCTCTGCCTCATTTTTTTTCCTTTTATGTATTTGCAGTTTTCAGTCCATTTCATTAATATTCTTCTTTTTAATTGTGTTTTGATGGGTTTTTTTAATACAGTGACCAAGCTGAACTCTTATTTATGCTAGTTTCAGTAATTTCAGTTTTCACAGTAGTTTACCAGTGAGGATATGTGTATACAGATGCAATGTCCATATTCAGGAGACCACTCTTGGGCTGAAAATTTGGCAAGGCTTGAGCAGACATGACTTGTTCTAGAGCTGCCTGTGGCCTTTGCCAGGGTACACCAGAGACATGGTCTGGGTGCAATGCAGTGGGCCTAGCTGAGGTCAAGGTATTTTTGTGAACTGATTTGGAACCAGACTTGGGACAAAGACAAAAATGGAATTTCTATGTGGCAATAGTCCCAGTAAAACAGCATAGCATGGATTAGATGGGGAATGAGTTTCATTCTTCCATCGAGATGCTGGTACTCCTCTGTATTGCTCTGAGAGCAATGAGTCTTCTATTTATTTGCTCTTGGCAAGAGGTGTATGGCCTTTCACTATCAGGTTTTTGTGAACTGACATTATAAGAATGCATTTTAAGGGGGAGGAGAGTTCACCTACAAACCACCCAGGTACTGCAGCCAGAGTAGAGTATCTCTACCCACTCAGTAACAAATATCTTCTGCGAAAAAAAAAATCATGTTGGGCTTTTTTTCCAGGAGATATACTGACTTACTTCTTAGGGAAATTATGAGATCTTATTTCAGGCCTGCTCATTTCCAAGTGCTGGTTTGGAACTACTTTCTTTCCTGTGTAATACCCAAGCATTTCCATCATCTAAAAATTAATTTTAATAGCTCATTGTTTATATGGAAGAAAAATCCAAGAGTGTTCACTTATAGGGCTTTATTTCTCCCTTTGGCATAGGCAAGACTGGATTGGTGACTAAGAGTCTATCTAGAACTGTTGACTTCCTGATTTTTTCCCTTAGGTGGGACTATAGGCTGTCTGAATTTGTACTGAGGGTTCTCTTCTTTATTATTATTCATGATTTATTGTTTGTTGTCTGCAGCTTTTGGTGATTTTCTCTACCCAGAGCAAACATAAAGCATAGAAGAAAGAAAAAGAAAACTATATATATCTATGCCAGTACAACATCCACTTTCAAGCTCTCAGTATAAGTCATTGTATATGCAGTGAAGCAGCAACAAAAAAGCACTGCACAAACAAAATTATTTGGTTCTCAAAGAGTTTTGCAGCTTAGAGAAATTTTTTAAATAATGGAAGGTTGCTTGAAGGTGCCTTTTGAGAAACTTTATTTCTTAAAATACATCAAATGAGTGAAGCACTGCAAAGATGGATTTCTTAAGCTCTTATACTCATTACCATTCAGTAAACACCACAGCCTTAGATTTTGATATAGTTCATGGAAACAACAGATACATAAACTATGAAACTGCAGGAGCTTTTCAAAAGAAGGATTTAGGAACATAAGCCCTCAATTCCCATGACAGATTAATGCAGTTTACTGAAGGGCAATGGTGGGATTTCTTTTGGGCAAAAAAAAATCCAGAAGCAATTCAGGTAGTTGAATCCTCCATGAACTGTGGCTCAAGAAAAGTCTCAAAAGGGCAAGCAAAGATGCAGTAAAACCACCCGAATGGACCAATATGTGTATAGCAGTAGAAAATTCACTGCTAGGAAGCCTGGAAAACCACCAGTGATTCTGATACAACTTGACAGCCTCTCAAAGCATCAGGGGAAAGGTCTAGACCATAAGTAAATTCTAGACCAAGTGCTATGAGCGCTGGTACATACCCTGTCACATCCATCATGACAAAACAAAATGACCTTCAAGTGTAATGTCTCCCAGATAATCCTGCAGCCTGACCTGATAACAATCATTAGCTTTACCTAGGTTAATAAAACCTGTTAATTCCAGTGACACTGCCCATGGAAAACATGAACAGAGAACAGAATATGATCCTAAACAAGCCCCCTTGGGACTAGCAGTGATAAACTGCGTTAGCAGATAATTAGATCCAAACATTGCTAACAGAATCTCTAACACAGTCTTACCACTGCAGTAGAAATAGCAACAAAATACAGTTTTGATCCCCCTTTCTGCAGAGCAACGTTTGTAAAACAGCACACTCCCTGCTGGGATCGGGATATTAATGACCCAAGCATTTAGCACTTTTACAGTTGCCCTTAAGAGATGCTTTTAAACCCAGAAGAAACTGTGGTTTTCGTTACTTTAAACAAAACCATTTACTTCAAAGGCAGTAGAAAGATATTCTAAGCAAGAAGTGATTGTTAACATGGATGAGAGATTTCAGGGTGACTCCAGTTCTTAAGCAGGCAGTTTGATCTGTAAACTGTACATAATTTAAGCAGGAGCTTATAAGGGTAACTGCAAATGAAAAGAAACACTGCTGAGATGCACTTGAGGGGTATGTAAGTACTTGAGCCTGAAATATGAGGAGCTTTGTATCCCTGCAGGCATCAGAGAGTTAAGGACATTTACAAAGCAATGGGAACAGACTCCACACTCACTGAAAGCAAATGGAAATCATTGTATTAATTCACACTAATACTGATGTTGTTGGTGATGTACTTCATAGGTTCAAAACTCCTTTGCAAATACTGGTTATGAAAATCCTCCGAGTTAGTTTCGTCAGCTTTATGAAGTTAGCAGTCTCCTGGAGAATTTGAGAGCATATCTGCTGAGAGCAGAAACTAGCACCCAGGATTTAGAAAAATGTCAGTGGCTCAGAGTAAGAATTGCATCTGGTGGTTGGGATTACTAAAGACTTTCTCTGAAGTAAATCTGCCCCCACAGTTTCTTTGCTTTCAGCACCAGCAAAGTCCCAAACAAAACCAAAAAGCCCAAAATACCCAACATCCCAGCATACTATAATATGCTCTTTTAGGGTGATTCTTTTTGTGAGATAAATGTTCCATAAGTAAGTAATACAAAAATCCCAGTTGTGCTATTGTTCTGTTTTGTGGGTTTTGGTAAAATTATCTCACCCTTTTTTGCTGTGTATGTAAAATAGGAACAGTGACAGCATTTGTTCTCCATATATTGTTGACGAAAAGAGCTGAGCATAAGCTATAAAAACATTACTTTTCCTTGTCTGATCATATCATTACTGTATTATTACTATGTAGTTTTATTGTCATTATCAGAACATTACAGGCATCATCTGCATGTGAGATTTAACACATAAGAGCTATTACTCTACCTAGAAATCAGTTCTATACTTTTTTAGCTAATCATGTAACTAAGAGGCTGTTTCTTCTCTGTTACAGCTGTATGAAAAGGTTGCACTTTTCCTGACAAATTTAGGTAAGCAATGTCAAATACAAAATTGAATGATATTGTACTTATTTATTGGTCCATATACTGTGAAAACATTCGAAATGTCTGTATAAATATGAAAAATCCTAATTAATTTGCAGTCTATAGGAATTTATATTTTTCTTAAGTTTATAATAAAATAGTATAGAAACAAAACTGTAGTGTATGCTGGTTTGGGCTGGGGTAGAATTAACTTTCTTCACAGCGGCTAATATTGGGTTATATTTTTGATTTGTGCTGAACATAGTGTTGACAATGTAGAGATGTTTGTGTTGTTGCTGAGCAGAGCTCACACAGAGCCAAGGCCTTTTCTGCTTCCCATACTGCCACACTGGCAAGGAAGTTGGGGATGCATGGGAGCTTGGGAGGAGACACAGCCAGGACAGATGACCCAAACTGACCAAAGGGATATTCCATACCATATGACATCATGCTCAGTATATTAAGTGGGAGGAAGAAGAAGGAAGGGGGGACATCTGGAGTGATGGCACTTGTCTTCCCAAGTAACTGTTATGCGTGATGGGCCCTGCTCTCCTGGAGGTGCTGAACACCTCCTGCCCATGGCAAACTCCTTGTTTTGCTTTGCTTGCATGCATGGCTTTTGCTTTCCCTATTAAACTGTCTTTATCTCAACCCATGGGGTTTCTAGCCTTTACGTTTCTGATTCTCTCCCTCAACCTGTTGGTGAGGGGAGTGAGCGAGCAGCTGTGTGGGGCTTGGTTGCTGGCTGGGGTTAAACCATGACAAGTGCCATTCAATCAGACTGCAATCATACACCTTTGTTCTTGTTCCACCCCCTTACCTTAGAAGAATGAAAACAAATTGTCATCTTGGAGAAAAAGACATGAGTTTTCAGACAGACTGAGCACATACAACCCCCAGGTTTCATTAAGACCTGGAAAGGGGGAATCACTCCTGGAAAACAAATTTATAGCTTGAAACTAAGATGTTTATTGACTATTAATCACTTGCCTTTAAGAGAGGCAGTAGTTAAGAGGCAAAATAACTGACTCATCAACTCTACCTACACCTAAAGTATAATGATGTTCTAAATTTCAGTATTCTTTTCAGCTCACCCATAAAGGTGGTCTTCATGCTAGAGTAAGGAAACATGTTTTCTACGGAGAGCATGTACTGTCGCTGGAGTAACAATAGGCTGTCACTTGTATATCCATGGCTCAGGCAGAATCTGCAGAGATCCTGATGGTTTTGGAAGATTGCAGTAGCTGGTGGCAATTGGCAAGGGCTCCTTAGTGTCAAGCAGAAATGAGACTCTCTCTTGCTGAAGGCCTGTTAAACAAATCATGTTATGGCACATGTAGATGTGGTTTGAGGATATTATATTGAGCTGCTGGAAACCTGTGTACTTTGATGATGTTCAGTAAAATATTTTGGATCAGATGGACAGATTTTGGTGTCTTCTCAGAGGAAACAGCTGGTTTTAGCTAGTCAGGGCTTTTCTACATCTGGGAAGTCATTGGTGGTGTGTTCAAAGCATGTCTGTATAAAATAACATTTTATTCTTTTGTTTCTTTTTAAACTGAGAATCCTCATTTATATGCTCTAATTTTAAAATATTTTTGCTATCCTGTATCAATGGAAAAGATACTTAATAGTTACAGTTGAAAACTATGACTTTCAAGTTAGCAATTTGCACAAGCTGTGCCCTTTTAGTCCCTGTGACAGCCTGGGGACAGTAAGATGTGGTCTAGAGACCTTGAAGCTTTCTGTCACATTATCATCAAGGTATGTTTGCATCTACAAACCTGTGCAGAAAACACTTGTGGAAAATTCAGTGAGTCAAGATGTTCTGGTCATATTCAGACTACTTTGTGATTTTAACTCTGATGGCCTAAGGAACTGGTTTGGTTTGAGTGATCTTTATCAGTGTAATAATTCAGAGTGGTATTTGCAGCAAAACTGCATTCATGAGTTCAGCCTTTACACAGCCTTTTTGAGAACTCACATCCATGCTCCTCCAGGGTATCACCATTGTCTCTGATGAGCATATGAGCACAGCTACAGCTGCAGCAAGCATGTTATAGTCAAACCTGTCTTTCCAACAGACTGGCATCTAATTAAAGAGAATCTGGTCTAGAGTTGTTCCTGTGCTACCAGAAGTTTACTGGAGGCTCATTTGGAAGTAGTATATGAGTACTACCATTATGATACTCAGAATCAGCACTAGTGCCTCCACTTCTCCTCTGATTACTCCAGTTCACAGCAATGGTTGGCTAATAACAAGCTCCTGCCAGCTGGAAAGCAGTTCCAGAACATGGTACTGGTGTGTTGGCATAGAGGTTGTTTTGTTAATTTCTGTCTTGATATCTCTTTAGATAGAGATTAAGGGCCTAACTGAAGGGAATAATATGTCTTCCCCTTTCCCATTTCCCTTAGCCTATCAACCGCAAAATATTTTTTTCCCAGGTTTCTGTGATGACAAGGGAAGGGAGCCATGCAGTGGCACTCCACTGATACCTGTGGGGAAATCCATGAACCAGAATTACAAGGAGGACTTTTTCCAGTTCAGTGTGTAATAAAAAGGCACTTACAAAGCTTGTAGTGGAGTGCTTTCAGGCAATGTCATTATGGTAGGATACAGAAAAGGAAACAAGAGAAGAACCTGAGCCTGTAAAGAGCACAGAAATACAGGAGGGATGTTTAATATACACATTGCCACAACTACTTTCTTACAGTGTCCTGGGAATATACATATCCAGATACCAGAATAGATTTCTAAGTATCTACAAGCTCACTTGCTGAGTGCTTCTTTTGGATACAACTTTTTCTGTCAGCTTATGTTTTGAAATCAGCAGGCTAATTTACAAATACATTGCCTGCTCTGATCGGTGTGTGCAGCCTTTGTGCCAAGGGAAATTGCTAATCTGATTAAACCTCTGAAACTCTGATAATTTTTTTCACAGAGCAGCCTCGTACCGAATCTGAGTGGGAAAACAGCTTCACTCTGAAAATGTTTCTTTTTCAGTTTGTCAATCTGAACAGCTCTACCTTTTATATAGCATTCTTCCTTGGAAGGTAGGATTGATGTCTACACTCTCATACGTGCAAAGTAGAGAGAAGAATTAAACTTGTGTGTAATTTAACAAAATGGACCATATTATCACATATCTCAAAATGTAAATTCCATACTAGCAAAGATGAACAGATTGCAGTTTTATTTTCCTTTCAAAAACCCAGAAACAGATGTAGTTTTCATTTCCTACCACCACATGGTCTCAATGCTAACAATTTCACTATTGGAAACAGATGCATCCCATAATACCATACATGCAGGCCATTTCACTCTGTCTTTATGTATGTAATTTGTACAGATAAGGATAGGATAGAATAGGATAGGATAGGATAGGATAAGATTGTTCAGTTGAAAGGGACCTTACAATAATCATCCAGTCCAACAGCCTGAATACTTTACTGCTTCTATGACATGATTTTGAATGCTGAGAGTGAATTCTGAGCTATCAGTTGGGGTTATTTTCCATAGAATATTGTATATGTGTGTGTGTGTATATTATTTGTATGTCTCTTTCTGCAAGTCTCCTAAAAGCAAGAGAACCTTTGATTAGAGAAGGCCTGAATAGAAGAGTCTATCAGTATGGATTATTTGTGTATTGGAATCATTTGGGGGAAAAACATGGGAGAATCATAAGAAAATTATGGTTGTTAATAAAAACTAAAATTTTCACTGATTTCACAGACAGGAAGATATGACAGCCCATATTAGAGTGTAAGGAAATGGACTGGTAGCTGAAAGCCATTTTCCAAACTGACATGAACAGTTTCAGTCAGATTTTCCCTCAGCTCTGCATATGTGGAATATCCAACAGCACAGTATTTGGTATTGCAATGAACCTGGAAGTAAAAATATACTCACCCCTTCATGGAGATTATTCCAGGAATTGCCCTAAAATATTTTTCAGTATAACAGCTTCTGTAGTTATATCAGTTATGCTAAGATAACATTAGATTAAATGTGAGCTTTCTTCTGCTACTGTGAATAGACTGCTTATACAACATATTTGATATATATTCCTCTCTAAAGATTTACAGGACACCCTGGTGCCTACTTAAGGCTGATAAACCGGTGGAGACTGGAAGAGGTGAGTGTTTGGTAACTACACACTGATTTATCTGCTGCCCACAAATGCCATGAATGCAAGCACAGGCAGACACATAACTCTGTCTAGGCATTTTTGAGTGTCTTGTTGGGTTTTCAGCTGCTAACTCCACACTACTGACACTACCATCTGCTACAAAAGCATCTACATATTGCTATATATTCCCTTTTCAATGCCAGCAGTTTTAGTGTTTGCATCACATTTGAATAGTGGTATCAGATGGTTTAAAGATTACTCACATATTTACGTTGGAAATATTTCATCCTTGAAATGAATCAAAGTCAGATATGAATCTGACAACATTTTGCTTCTAAAAAATTCCTTTCTTCTCAGCTTTTCTAGCCTTGCTGACCAGGAAGCTAAAATAATAAAATAACAAATTAAAAATCCAGAAACATAAAATAGATGTGAAATTTGAACAAAACAACTGAACAGACTTCCCAAAAGAGCTACTGGAATAACGTTCCATGTCAATAAAACCAAATTAATATGGAAAGCAATGAGACTGTGACCTTTCAGTCACTCAAGGACCAATCCCTTTTTTATTTATTTTTTTTCTGTCAAATACATTTGGAATTCAAAAACCATTTGGCAGTTATTGTAGGTGAACAGCAGCAGTTTCTGGACCAGACATTTAGTTTCCAGTGCTGCTATTTGTACACTCAAATCCCATGGTTTATTTCTTGCTTCACAGCTGAATAACTGAAAGAACTTTGCAAATAAATGACAAATCCCAAGTGGAAAACGCAGGTATTTCCCTGCCAACATGAATTTTCAAACACTTCTGGATATATAAATATTTTGGTTAATAGAGGCCATGCAAATACTAGCAACATCCCTCCAAAATCTGAGAGGGGCTGAGCTCAACCAACAGCTTGATGCTGCAAAAACGAGGCAATTCTGCTCTTCCTTTGAGACCTCCCCAAGACATTTCCTCCTTCTTCTTCCTCTGCATTGGCTTTGTCTTGTCCAACCCTGTGAGGAGCCTATTCAATTCCTTGTATCACCAGTAAACTTCCATTTTCTGGATGAATTAGTTTTCTGTTAAGTAACTGGGCTGAATCATCTCACAGAGGGACCAGAGAACAGGGAAAGAATCTCACCTCTCTGCAGAATCAGAGATGAGAAGAAAAGAGAACCAGGTTTGTGATGGAAGTGCAACAGTGAGGAGTTGTAGGTTGGGTCAGTTGCTGGTGAAAGCTACTATGAGTACTCCCTAGTTTGCTTTTCTCAGATTAGAAAAAAAAAAAAGAAAGAAAAGGTCTAATAATAAATGTCTAATAAAAAAAGTCTCAACTTTACTGACTGTATCTGTGCTAGATCTTATTAGAAACATGCTTTAGAATATACTTTTAGAATGTCCAGATACCCCTCCAATAGCCCTGTCTTCACCTGTTGAATGAACCCAAGTCTAAGACATTTAGTAACATGATATAGTCTTGTCCAGTGTCCATGGACATATTCAGACCATAATTTATATATTACTGGTGTTATGGTTATAACATCACTGCTTCTTGGTTAACACTGCATCTACCTCTCTCAGGGGTATAATGCATATATTTATATTTTTATTTATATATAAATAA